TGAGACCCTGTCTCAAAAAGACAAAAACAAACAAACAAAATTGGGGTGATTCACAGGAGGGGGATAAAATTGCAGCTCCTTGTTGCTCCCCTCTTATTTCTCTACCCCTATCACATTCTCTGTCCCTCACCCTGCACTTTTCACCTCCTGCCTGCTGGAAGCTGGGAACCAACAGTTCCCAGAGGAGCCCACGCTTGGCCTGTCCCATCCCCTGTGACACAGCGCAGCAGGCACACAGCAGGCCTGGCCGAGTGGGTGCATGCTGCAGGCTGGACCTTCCAGAAAGACCCACTCTTGGCTCTCAGCTCTTTAACCCACCCCAAAACCCGATCTTCCATTCCATCTGTGAAGGAACCACCCCTCCGTCTGTGCTGAGCAATGCTCCCAGTTCTAGGATTCCTTTTTTTCTTTTAGTGCTAGGGGGTAAAGTGAGACTTCCACACTAAGCTACATCCCTGACCTTTTTGTAAAATGTATTTCTAATTTTGAGACAGTCTTACAAAACTTCTAAACCGTCCAGGCTGCAGTTGAACTTGTGATGGTCCTGCTTCAGCTCTGAGTGCTAGGAAGATAGCATCACTGTGCCCGGCATATTCCTTACTTTGGGCACAGGGAGAGTCCGGCCAGCACAGGGAGAATCCGGCCGATGCCACAGGGTGGGCAGGGACCTGAGGCTGGGATCACAGAAGGAACCTCAGAAACAGCATTCACTTAGGGCCCAGGTCAGGTACGGGGTCACCTCAGCTCTCTCTCTCTGTCTTGTCATGTCTGTGCATTTACTTTGATTTTTTTTTTCTTTTTCTAAGACAAGGCCTTACCTCATTGCCCAAGCTGGCCTTGGCTATAAACCTCCTGCCTCAGCTTCCTGATCAGTGGGTCCATGTTATCTCCTCCCTTATAAATCAAAACAACTTTTTGCAAACCAGGTATGGTGCATCCTTGAGCCCCAAACTCTAGAGGCTGAGGTTGAGGGTACTGAAGCAAGTTTGAGGCCAGCCTGGGCTATCAAGGCTCCAGGCACAGTGAGACCCTGTCTCAAAAACACTATTGAAAACAATAAGCACCACTCTTTGCATTCCAAAGTTCTCTGTCCCAGCGCGGCTTCAATCTTTATGCATGTATCAGTGCTCCAGAATCCTTATCTTACCCCATCAGATATGGTTCCTCCCCAGCCCACAATGGACTATTCTTTCATGCTCCATTCTCTCCTATGGCACCCTACTTCCCACAGAAGAAGGTACCCCTGCTTTGGCCTGACACCAGGCCCTCCCAATGGGGTCCCATTCCAACCTAGATGGAGGATCCACATTCCATACCACAGTTCTAAGCAGTGAACTTTCCCGTTAGGGAGCCAGGAGCAGAGTTGGAAGGAAAGAGCAAATACTTCCAACAATGAGGAATAAACTTTTTTTGAAGTATTTAAACCCAGGACCTTTGCATTGAGCTACACCCCAATTCCTTATTATTTTGAGACAAGGTCCCCCTAAATCATGCAAGCTGGGCATCAACTTGGAATCCTCCTGCCCCAGCCCCCCAGAATGTAGTAAATCATTGTTACCCTTGTTTTTCTTCCCTGGCTACTTCAAGTGGCTGATTCTGGAAAAAAATAACTTTCCTTTCTTCTTTTTCTCCCTCTGGTTTTCTTTACCCGCTGTTTGAAATCCAACTCTCCCGCTCCCTCCACTTCCTCAGCTACATCCACTCCATTTTCCCTATCTCGCAGTAGGCGGGATTCACATGCGATCCACACGGAATACAACCAACCTGGCCTTCAACCGGGCGTCGGGTTTCAGGACCACGGACAGCGGTACTACCGTGCCCCTCCCCCTGAGCGATCATAGGCCCTCAGCCTGGCACCGGGAAGGCTTTTCCATGCTTAGCACTGTCTTTTTTGTGCTTGAGAAACTCCCCAGGCTGTCAGCATCCGCTCCTACCCTGCTGCTCCGGAGACTACCCCCTGGTGATGCCCCCAGGCCGCCCTGCTGTATCCCTTCAGCACCCTGACTGGTCCACACTTAAACCCCACCCCGGGCGGGTCCTCCAGGCCCTGCAGGAGAGGGGGACACGCTGGGAAAGGTCCCTGCCCTGCTGCAGTACATGCTCTCACTCTAGTCCTAGGAGACCACGCCTGAGGACAGCCGTGAGGACTGTGTATCACCGAGGACCTGCGGGGCAGGAGAGGGCAGGGCCGTGCCCAGAACTGCCAGTAGAAGCAGGGAGGAGCAGCTGGTCCCCAGGGGAGGCTGGATCTGCAGGTCCAGCGCAGGGCGCCAGCGGGCCAGGCGATGAGCTCAGCGCGCTGAGCAGCGGCCAAGTTCTCAAGACCTTGTGGGCCAGGCGCTGATGTGGGGCGCATCCTAAGCGCGTGGGGGGCGGGGAGGGATCCACCCACCTGGCCTGCGCCCAGACAGCTGCACCTGGCTTTGCTTCGGACTCAGCTACCAGTGCCCAGCACAGAGCCTGGTGCGAGGGTGGGTGACTGAGACATGGGTCGCGTTTGGGGATCGGGCAGATAAGGAGCATGTGCAGGCGTCACTCCAGTGGCCTGGATAAAAGAAAATCAATGCCCTCTGGCTTCAACCTCGCTGCCCAAGCGCACGTGGCCAGGCAGAGGCTCTATCGACCTCCTATCAACATCCAGCCCTCTCATGGCTGCCTGGCTCTATATCTGCAGACCCATCCTGGCTCAGCCCACACCCTGCAGAGCCCCCTCCCCTTGCTGTCTCCCCTCTCTTTCCTGGGAGCCCAAACCCAGAGCAGGCTGCGGGCCAAGGGAGGTTTACACAGATGTGACCCTTTCACTGCCCTGCCCAGGCCTCCCACAGTGCTGACCACGCCAGTTCAATACCAAGGATCCGACTGGAGATTCATGATCTCAAGCAACTCTTGTCTCCTTCCCCAAGGCCTGGTGCCCTCGTGGGCAACTTGGGGTTTCACTGTGTGCTAAGATCTAAGGTGCTGGTTTTCTGCTCATCTTTAACCTCTCCTTTTAACTGCTCTCAGGTCCAGGATTTCTAAGGCTTAGCAAGGCAAGATAGAGTCCTGGTGAGGCGTTGCCTCCACTACCAGGAAATTTAACCTCCAAGAGCTTCCATGACCCCTGAGTCAAAACAGAAACACAAATGCTACCTCTCAAAATGCAAAACCAGCTACCAAAACAAAACAGAAACAAAAATGGTGCCCACAGTACACAGCCAAGAAAAATACACAACTTAACTCACAGAACTCAGAACTGCCTGGCCCCTGACATCCCATAAAGTTACAGTTACAAGGATGATCACTGTTGCTTACCTAATCATTTATTTCTACTACCCCTCAAGCACATATAGGTGGGTGCTTCATATCCATGCAGCAGCTCGGTGCTGGGCAGCTACCATTTGGTCTGCCTCATGCTTTTGTATGGTTTGCATGCTAAGCACGGCTTTTGCATTCTTTTGAACAGTCAGGAGTCAATAAAGAATATCTCATGGCACATGAAGTTACACCACATTCAGATTTCAGGGCCCATAATGCAAGTATGATTAGCAACAATTCCACAAGAGAAGACTGGTACCCCCATCTTTCCAGCCACTGTCCCTGGTAATCTTGACATACGGTTGATGCCTTGGGGTGGAGCACATAGGCTATGAGGTAAACCAAGGGAGAGGTCAGCGGTGGGACTTAGGCTGTCCCAAAGGCTAGATCAGCAGTCTGACCTCCAGCCTGACCTTGGCCAGCTGACTCTGAGGCAGGCAGCCAGTGTATGAGCACACGCTCTGATCAGAACGCCCTTGGTTTGGGTTCCCGTTCTACCATTGACTAGCTTTCCTTTCTCCCAGGCAATTTCCCTTTCTGCGTCTGCAAACAATGGGGCTACCTTCTATGCTTCAGGGTAGGTTGAATCAAACTCCCCATGCTCCCTACTCTTGCCCCACTTTCTCTCTCTAGGCCACTATTTTCCATCTGAAAAATGATGAGACCTTTCTGCTCTGACACTCTCGATCATGATATCCTAAGTATCTTATTTTAGCTCGTTGGTGTCTGGCTCCATGAGCCGTGATTCAAGTCTGTGCTGAGGTTGCACCCTGCTTTCCCTGGAAAAGGTCTCAGGAGGATGGGTTGAAGGCTGGGGGAGGGTAGGACCTGGGAGAGCTGGGTGCAGAGCAGAGGAACTGGAGGAGACTGGGGGAGGGGATGCTGGAGATCACTGTGCAGCAGGAAGAGGGACGGGGTGCAGGCCCTGGGAAAGGTGGAGGTGATATGTATGGCGGGGTGCATTTATGAACTATCAGCTCAATTTCAAGGACCTGATATGAGTCGGCTTTAATTGCATTGCTGGCATTTGAACCAAATTGGAGACTTGAGTCAGAAGGAGTGGGCTGGGCTGGATAGGGGTGGGAGCTGAGTTGTGTCTGACCCCTGCTGCACTGTGCTGGGCAGAATGAGGCTGGAAGGCTGAGAAAGAGCTCTTCTCTCGAGCTCTGGGCTCCCCAGTCATCTGGCTCACACTGGTGTCCCAGGCAAAGCCCTGCACCCTGCTGGATCTACAGCAGCTAGGCAGAGATGCTCTGAGATGAGACCCATCACATACCCAAGAGCCCTGCACCTCAAAATAAAGAAAAAACTATAGACAAGTACTGAACTCCAGGGGATGCCATGCATGGCAGAGCTTTTTGGGTGACACCTAAAACTCATCCTGAAATGCATTGCAAAGGAAAAATAAGTAAGAGAGAACTGGCAGGTGATTGATTAGCAGCAAAGGCCTGCACATCGGGTAACTGGAATCCAGTAGTAAAGTCACACCTGGCCTGAAATTATGCCCTGCAAAAACTCTTTTGACTTTTTTGTTTGTTTAAGGGGGAAAAAAAAAAACAACGAAAACAGAATGTTGCACAGAAATAAAGCGTCTTGTAAACTGCTAATTACTAAAATATCAGTGATGGTTAAAAATACAGGCTCGGGGGGCAAGGTGCTGGCCAAGCAGAGGGCGCAGCCCTAAGTCCCTCTTGCCCGGGGCTCACCTGAGAGGATGAAGAAGATGCCAGAAACAAAGGCCAGGATGGTTCTCTGCGGGCGGATGTGGCCAATGTTGCTGATGACGAAGGCGGTGAACACCAGGAACAAGCTGACCATGGGGAAGGGCGTGGCCGTGCGCACCGTCTCTGGGGGCACAGGGAGGTGCGGGTGACGTTCTCCGGAGGTCCCGCCCACTGCCCACCCTGTCCCTCGGCCCCGCCTCCTGGCCCTTCAAGAGGACATGTCCCACCATGGCCCCGCCTCCAGTCTGCCAGGACGACACGCCCGCTATCAGGCCCCGCCCCTCGACCAGACCCCACCCCTCCTAGGTCCTTGCAGTGCCGCCTTTGAGCCCACACCCTCCTCCCAGGACCTCTCTGCCCCTTTCCCTCACTCAAAATATTCTCTGTGTTTTCCGTCACCAAGTTGATCTCTGGTTCGAGGAAGTATTCCGAGGCCACGCAGCGCCCCTTCTCCCGACCTGGTGGGGAGGGAGGGATAGAGGCAATGATGGCCCAGAAGATGCGGAGTTCCAGGGCGGCACCATGGCGGGGCAAAGGGGAGACCTCGGGGTGAGGGCGAGGTGTACCCAGGATCGCGGTGTGTCCACTCTTAGGGGATGGGGAGTGCGGTGGCATAAGGGCACCTGCAATTTCTCCTGAGCTACTCCCGGCGGACCCTCCACCCCACGTCCCAGAAGGAGGGCGCAGTGGGCCAGCACTGCTAGGTCTCTAAAGAGGATGAGGCCGGGAGGGCTGGGATTCCTGAGGGAACGGGGACACACACACACACACACACACACACACACACACATACACACACACACACACACACACCAGAACGTGGTCCCAGAATGGGGCTCCTACACCCAGAGGGTGCAAGGTAAGGTGTGGGGGCTCTGCAGAAATCTTAACTTTCAGGAGAGGAACAGGATCATTTTCTAGATAACTAGGAGCCAAGGAAAGGCACTGGGATGAGGCCTGAACGGTTGGGCAGGGTGGGAACAGGGCAGTGGAGGGCAGGCGCACCCCGCACCTGCAAAGAAGCAGACCCGCCAGAGGCCGGCATGCAGCGCCATCTTGACCTCGGTGGTCTGGTTCTGCGGCAGCACCGTGCCCTCCTCCATATACAGCCAGTAGTCCGTGCTGACCGCGATGCCCACAAGCAGCAGGCCGCAGGCGCCGAACACGCTGCTCAGCAGGGTCAGGGCTCGGCTGCTACAGTGACTCATCCTCAGAGGCGGGGGGCGCCCCGCGGGGCCTGCGGGGTGGGAAACTGCGGTGGGGACCCCCGAGGGGAATCATCCAGGTCCCTAGTTGAACCGTAGCTGGAGATAACAGCTCCAAGATAGACCCTTCTCCAACCTACTTCCAGGTCATGAGCCATTACCCCAGCACTAGCCTCTGACGCCAAATGCAGCTCTTAACTCTGGACCTCAGGGTTGAACCTCCCAGATTTGCCAGCTGGGCTGTGTGTGGCTCTGGGCTCAGACCCCCGACCCCAGGGAAGGTTCCCAAGTGTCATGACATGCCAGGGCCCTGGCCTGAGAGCTCAACCTTACAAATCAGGTCGGATGACCACCAGGGTCCCCCACGCTGAGACAGAGCTGGTGACTCTTGACACTGTTATGACACCAAGCAGCTAAACTGCAGGACCTGGAAACCCTACCCTAACCACACTCTGACCCAAGACCCTAGCTGTGATCACAAGGCCCAACAAGGAGGGCCTAGCACCTCCACTCTGAGCCAGGATCCACATCCCTGGACCTGGGGCATTGTGCTCGGACTGTGGATTTGCTACAACTTGACCTGACTGGAATCTCTAACCTGAGCCACCCACCTTAATCCACGCCCCGACCTGATACATAGGCTGCATCTAGAAAATCAACAGCACCCAGAAAGCCCCCAGATGTGTTGCTCATCAAGGATCCCTAGCCCTCCACCCTGGCCTCAACCTTGACCTCTGACCTATCTCAGACTGTGAACACAGGCTCCCACCTAAGCTTCAGCTCTCGGAATTTTACCTTGACCCTGACAGTCAATTTGAACTCTAAGAACTTCTGCCTCTGACCCTGTGCCTTGACCTTGATTTGGTGCCCCAGTCTGATTTCACAGCCACCACACAGGACTTAGATTCTAGAACTCTGATTCCACTCTCCTGCCCAAAGGGAGGCCTTGAAATGGGGATTTGGGAACTTGTTCACAGGAACCCAGAGCCAAGATGTTGAATAGAATCCCCAGAATGTGATAACCATGAGCTGAGACCCTAGGACCCAGCACTCTAGCCAGACCGCTCCAGCAAGACGAGAGGCCATCTTCCTGCAAACTAGAAATTGCTGCCCCCTGAGGAGAGCACCTGCATTTCAGCACCCCAAATTCCATCCCAGAGATCCCAGACCTCTGTTTCCCGTGGTAGGCCTTCCAGCCACAAGCCTTCTTCAACAACCCGCGGGGAACCTGGATCCCAGCACTGGACTTCCAAATCAGAAATCCCCAAGTCATAGCTGTGGCTCCAAAATCCAATTAGAGATTCTCTCAGAGACTCCATCTCAGTTTGGGGGCTTCTTAGCCTAGAACTAAAGGACCCCAAATCCCTCATCTGCAGTGCCCACTTCCTCGAAAGAATATTCCCCCTTGCCACATAATCCCAGGGTGTGGGGCTCATCTTGAGATGGCCAGGCTACATCAGCCAGAGACCTCTGGGTCCCTGAATACCATCGACATCCATCATCCCTTTACCTTCGAAGTCTGTGACACCTCCCCCCCAACATTCAGGACAGGAGACCACTGCACCTTTGACCGGCCTGGAAACTCTGCCTCGCCCCGATAAGGACCCTGGAGTCTGAGGTCACTCCTCATGCTCAGGCTCCCAGAGTCCTGAGGCCCCTGGCTGCACCGCCAGCCTCCAGCAGGACCAGGGGACAGGAGTCTGGAAAGCTGAAGCGGGTTTTTCCTCCCATCCCCCCCGCTCTGTGGCTCGGGGACTCGACCGCCAGCTGCTTGTTGGCTTCTACCCTCAGCTGGAAGCAAGCACCCTAAACACCCTGTCCGACGTCTCAGCCCCGGAAGCTGACCTCGGCGTCCCCGTCCAATGCCCGGGAGCTCCAGGCTGGGACCCGGGCTGAGCACCCTTTCCCGCCCCAGCCCCTCCCTCCGTCCCAGTTTCTGCGCGCTCTACCTGGCCGCCAGCTCCCCGTCCTGCAGCCCTCGCTCCTTTGGGACCCTCCCCCCAAGCCTGGAGCCTTCCCGTCCTTCCTCCCTGCCTCCCCGCATGCAGGCGTGCGGACCCCTGCGATCCCGGTCCTCCAAAATCAAGTCCAAACTCCATCTCCCCTCAGTCTCGCGGGACAAAGCAACACCTCCTTCCTCGGGACCCTTTTCCAGACTCGTAGCCCGCTCCCCCAGGCCTGGGCCTCCACCTGCGGCCGGGGCCGCCCTCCATCCGGCCGGAACTCGACCCTCCCGGCGCAGAACCCTGCGACTCTGACACTGAGAGCTCCGCGTCCCGCTCCAGGACCCTCCGACCCAATCCGCCAGGATCTGCCAGGCCCAGAGGTCCCCGCGTCCCTCAGACTCCGCGCTCGGGCGTCCCGACCCCCGGGATCCCGCCCCGCAGCTGCTCGGATCCTCCTGGGCCCCACCCCAGCCCGCAGTCTCCTCGCGGGCGCCCCCAGCCCACAGGAGCCTCCCCGCCCCGCGCTCACCTCGCTCAGGGCTGGGCGCACGCTCTGGGCCGCGGGCCCCGCAGCCGCATGACCGGCCCCGCGGCTTCCCCCGACCGCCGCCGCCGCCGCCGCCGCCACCGGGGTCGCCGGTGCCCGCGCCCCCCGCCCCTGCCCCGGCACCCGGCGTCCCGGCCCCTCCCGGCCTCCCACCCCCCACCCCCCGCGCCCGCGGCCTCACTCGGCGGACGCGGCCGGGCTCAGGCACCGGCGGCCGCTCATTGGCTGCCGCGGAGGAGGGGAGGGGCGCGGAGGGGGCGCGGGGCGCGCAGGGCGGCGGGGCTCGGGGATGGGGGGCGCGGGCCGCGGAGGAGAGCCCGGCGGAGAGCCCGAGACGGGCACGGGCGCACGGAGCGCGGCGCGCTCCCGCCGAGAGCTCGGGGCCGCGCCGGGGACCCCCGCGCCCCGCTACTGGAGGGCACGACGTTCGAGAGCGAGGGGGCAGGGTCGGGGTGCGGGGCCCCCAGCGCCCCTCGGCGCGGAGGCTCCGAGGCCCCACGGGTGGAGAGGTCAAGGGGCCGGAGTGCGGAAGGGGCGCCCAGAGGCCTGGGGCGCGCGACGCCGGGCTCCGGAGACCTTGAGCCCGGGGAAAGTGCGGAGACAGCGGTCGAGGCACTAGGGGACCGGGGCACAGGGGGACGAGGGCAAAGACCCCGGGAAGGAGAAGCAGCCTGGGGGGCCCGAACAGGACAGGCGGGGTCTCCGGCTCGGCCGGGGGCGGAGCCTGGGGTCGGGGTGGTGCAGGGGGTGTCCCGGGCCAGGGTCCCGGCGGCGGGCGAGCTGGCGGGCGCAGCGCGGAGCCGGGTCCTGCAGCCGCCGCGGAGCTGGGAGCCGGGCCAGCCCCCCCACCCCCGCCGTGATGTCAGCGGGGCCACTCTTAAAGGGGCAGGCTGCCCGCCGAGGGTCGGAGCGGGCCCTGCGGGCACTGCCCGGGTGCCGCGGAGGTGGGACAGGGCGGGGCGGGGGAAGGAGGGAGCTCAGCATCCAGTGGAACCAGGGCTTGGGGCCCAGAAACCTGCAGGCGAGAAGAGACGCCGCGCCCTCAAGAGCACCTGCAAGGCTTGGGGTTCAGCCCCCTTCCACACACACCCACTCACACATAGGCAGCCTCTGCTACCCCGGCCTGCTCCGTCCGAGGACTACAGTCCCCGTCAGCCCCCGCGGCCAGGGGCTGCACCTGGGGGAAAGGGTCTGCGGTGATGGCCGCTGGGAAATGTAGTCATCCAAGCGGGTCCCTCCACCCACCACCCACCCCCTACTCCCCGACTCGCAAGTGGGTTGGGGAGAAGAGGCGGGAGGACCCGCATGCCTTCTGCTGGTGTTGTCTGGGTAAACTGGCCTGTCTCGAACTTCACGGGAGTCCGGGTGCACACTGTGAAGCTGAGGCGGTCTTCCCCACCAGCACCTTACGGTCTGTGTGTACCTCCTTCGCATCCCGCCTTTGCTGGTCTCTGTGTGGTCACCGTCCCACCCTCGAACCCCCTCTGCTCTCCAAGTTTACAAGAAAACACGCAAGCACTTCAGCGTCAGCATCCCAGATTTATTCTCCAGCAGCTGTGGCCGGGGGTGGGGGTGGGAGAGGCTAAGAGGAGGAGGCAGAGGGGGGTAGCCCCCAGAGGCGGCAGGCCGGGGGGGGGGGGGGGGGAGGGGGAACGACAGCGGTGTTCCCAGAGAGACTGGAGCCATGCACGGGAGTCTAGAATGAAAGCCGGCTGGGAACAGTGGGGAAGGGCCCCTTCATACTGCCCAGAATCCTGGGGAGCAGGGCAGGGCCTCCCACGTGCTCTATAACTGGGATGGAGGCGGACGGGGCTTGAGGACTGGGAGGACCCGGGTCCCGGTTTGCAGCGGTGACCCCGCAAAACTTCTTCCCCAGGAAGGAGGGAGCGGGAAGAGGCGGGGGCTACCGGGATGGAGCCTGGAGCCCCCGGCGCGGGGCGGGGGAAAATTCGGGACTTGGAATCTAGAACTCGGGGAGGCTCCAGCGCCGAGGCCAGGAGCCGCAAGAGGGGCTTCGAGCACCTGGGAACCCGGACGGAGAGACGCTGGCCAGAGCGCTGCGGGGGTGGCGGGGTGGGAGGCGGGGCCATGAGGGACACCTAGTGGCAGCGGGTGACATCACATTACAGGCACAGGCACCGGGCTGCTAGGGCTGCGCGCGTCCGGGTGCACGAAGTCGGGGTTCACGTAGGTAAAGCCCTGGAAGTCCGCCTGGTCGATGCTGGCCAGCACCAGGCGGTCCGGCGGGGTCAGCGCTGGTGCCGCTCGCGTGAAGAACTTGTCGAAGTTCTCGCCGCTGCGGCCGCACTGTGGGGTTGTGGGGGGACGCGGGAGGCCAGGTTGAGATTCTGCCGGCTCTGTGCGGGGCTGCGTCCCGTCCCGGCTCCCCCGGGGTCCGCCGCGCATGCGTGTAGTCTCTGCACCGGCTCTGGGGAACCCCAGTCCTTCTCCAGGTGCAGACTCTGGGGGCAGGACGGGCACTGACCGGGCGCGGTCTGAACGGAGGCGCGATCTCCAGCCGCTCCAGCCTGTCCCAATCGATCCAGCGGAAAAAGCCATGCGCCCGAATGGTGGGCTCCCCATCTGGCCCGGAGCCCAGACGCTTCCCTGGGTGCTTGGTCAGGAACTGTGGGGAACACAGAGAGGGATGGAGGGATAGACAGACAGATAAACGGAAGCCTGGACAGAGTGACACAGGTACGCAGACCCAGAGGGAGAGCAGGGGAGGGGGAACGGAGATAGGATGGGGGCACGAGAGAGAACTCCAGCCCGAGATGCAGAGGTAGACAGAGAAAAAGGCTCAATGTGTGTGAGAGGGTGAGGGGCAGAGGAACCCAGGAAGGGCGGAAGGGAGACATGGGAGGGGCATTTCCCCAGAAAGAAAAGGAAGCAGAAAGGAAAGAGGGAGGAGGACAGAGGAGGTTGGACACCTGGAGAAAAGGAGGAACAGAGATCCACAGAGAGGAAGGAGGAGACCCAGAGGAAGGACAGACACTAAGCATGGAGGAGACAGAAGAGACAGCGAGTAAAAGGCAGAGACATAGACCACCCCAGCGAGTGTAGACGGAGGCCCCATGACAACTGGTGTGGAGTAAGAACTAGAAGCAAACCTCCCAGGGCCTGGAATTTCCTCCTGCACCAATGCTCCCACTCCGTAAGAGGAGATCATGGTGTGGGTGGCTTGGGAGCCCATAGGAGCACAAGCTGTGGGCATTCGGGTTATTGGACCCCTACCGCCAACCCAGGTCTGGAGAGACAGCACCTGGCAGCAGGCTGGGCAGCAGGGATCCAGTGGGGGACAGGGTGGCAGCACCCTGAAAAGTCACTGTTCCATCAAGTGACCTGAGGAGCAGCAGACTTGCTGAAGTCAGCCAGCAGGGTTCGGGTTGTGACTCTGGGGAAGCAGATGGCCTCACCCCTTTGCAGATGGCCACGGCTTCCCGGGAGAGGGACTTGGGGTAGGTGACTGTTTGCTCCATAATGGCCTGGAACAGCTCCTCCTCATCCTCTCCATCAAAAGGTGGCTAGAGAAATGGAAGGAATACAATCAGAGGCCCCCCAAACTCCCACCCTGCTCACCTGCCATCAGAGCCCCCCTAGCTCCCACCCTGCTCACCCAAAGTGACCACCCTCAGCTGCCCCCACTGACACCGACAGCTTCCTGGTGGCATAGCTGACCAGGCTGCCAAAGCCTGGCTGTCTCTATCGGCTATGCAAATCACCAGAGCACTCCTGAGGCAATATTAAACGGAAGAGAGGAAAGCCTCCAGGAAGACTGTAAGCTCCTTCTCCTCATGGGCTCAGTGCCTCCCAGGCTCCTGGGACGAGGGCAGGCAACATTAGAGTGAACTTCATCGTCTGAAGTCCAGGCTGTGTGTGTGTGGACCACTGAGGGGACAGTGGATTTGGACAGGAGAAAAACTGGCCATATCCCTCAGCTTGAGCTGCCCACCGATGGCTAGCCTCTCCTCCAATTAAGTAGGCAACAAACTGCCTGCGACGCTGCTACCAGGACAAGTCCCAGGTATTTCAAATCATCACTCCTCCTGCAAACCCACTATCAGATCTTCTGATTGTTTAATGGGGTGCTCAAAAAACTGAACATGTTCCTCTACTCCATCTTCTCATATTTAGATAGCTCATATATTGAAGTTAGGTTAGATGAATTGGACTTTAAGTTTGGGTAACTGTATTTCAATGACTGGTTTCTTTGTCATTATTTTACTTTATTTTTGTTATGTTGAGACAGGGTCTCATTATACAGTTCAGGCTGGCCTTGGGCTCACTTTGTAGCCCAGGCTGGTCTCAAACTTGCAATGATCCTCCTGCCTCAGCCTCCTAGTGCTGGAATTACAGGTGTGCACTGCCCAGCCAAGTTTATTACTTCATTTTGTGCACATGAAAACATTATTTTGATAAAGGGTTCATAGGTGTGGCCAGACTACTAACAAGGCCCATGACATCAAAAACAAAAACAAGAAACCAGCAACAAAAAAAGAAAAGATTAAGCACCTCTGGGCTTCGAGGGAAGATAATGGCTTCAGAACCTCGGACAGTGGCAACCCAGCTAGCCTTGGCCAAGGCTTAGCCTCCAACCCTTACACATCCTGACTGAAGGGGTGGGAGGCGCTCAACCCCATGCCCACTTAGCAGCCAGAAATACCTCTTCCCATCTTCCTTACCTGTCCCGCCAGCATTTCATAGAGCAGAACCCCGAAGGACCACCAATCCACAGACTTTCCGTAGGGCTGGTAGGCAATGATCTGGAGCAGGGTAGGGGGTGAGGAGTTGCAGTTCATTCTCGGGAACCTCGACCCCTCTGAACTCACATCCCATCCCCTACCTACTTCCGGTGCTTTCCACACACACTTCCCCCTCTGAATATTTTGGCTAGAGCTCCACGCTTTGGAAAATTCAGGGAACAAAGTTTACCTACATAGAACGTTTCTATATTCTCAAATATAAAGCCTACCTAAGGACCAAGTCACAAGATCCATAATATCTGCATAACTCACATTCCTTCCTGTCAGAGGCATGGGACTAAATCTCAGAGATCAGAGGTTGTGTGTGTGTGTGTGTGTGTGTGTGTGTGTGTGTTTGAGACAGGGTCTCGCTATACAGTTCAGGCTGGCCTTGGGCTCACTTTGTAGGCCAGGCTGGTCTTGAACTTACAACAATCCTCCTGCCTCAGCCTCCCAAATGCTGATTACAGGCATGCACCATCACACCCCACTTGTCAAAGGAATGTTTTTTTTACACCAATTTTTTTTTTTTTTTTGTCTTTTTCCTTTTTATCGGTACAGGGGATCGAACTCATGACTGCCTGCTTTGTCAAAGGAATTTAAAAAAAAAAATAGGTATTCCCATCTCTGAAGAGTTCTGGGTTCCATAACCTAGAGTTACCATCAGAAAAATACACGTCATTTTCTAAGTGTCCGAAAGTGATTCTATCATCAGCCAGGTGTTATGACTACTGCTACTGGGCCAGCAGCACAGTGCCTGCCTGGCAAAGGCTAGGTCCTGAGTTCAATTTCTGTAACCAAAAAGAAGGAAAATGATGACTACTGACGTTGATTACTTGGGCACTAGCATTGATCAACTAAAAGGCCAAGGACCACACCCCCATTCAACTTGCTCCTCCATTTAGCAAAGTCAGGAACATGCACCATCCATCCCCATGCACACTGAGACCCGGCCCCCAGCCCTCTGCAGAGTCAGAGCAATTCTCTGCCCACTGCAAGTACTCGGGATGGCACTACTGCCCCAGTCCTGCTGGAATGGCAGAAGACAAATGTGCCAGATGCCTGCTGCAGGCCTGGGTTCCGCCCCCCCCCCCCACACACACAGATGGAACCACACACAGTAGTGATCAGGGAGCGCTCCTGCAACTGAATCTACCCAGCCAGCATTCACAGGACTCAGCCTCCACATGGAGGCATGGTATTCTTGGGGGCTGTCCCACCTCCAGCACTCTTAAAATAGCCTCCACTCCTTAGTAGTCAAGCCCCTAACTTGCTCAGAATTTTCAGGAGCTGGTCCTGCTACCTCAGAGCATTTGCCGGAGGCCCGGCCCACTCTGCCTGTACAGAGACCTGGCCCCTCTTGCAGGAGCTCTCAGCACTCAGTCAGGTAAGGCTTGGCAGGACTCCCCGACTGGGCACAAGCCTGCACAGGCAGTGGGACACACAAGAGCATGTTCCGAGCACGCAGAGAGCCTAGGAGTACCTCAGGGGCTATGTAGTCTGGGGTCCCACAGAAGGTGCGGGTCGTGGTCCCCGGGAAGACATTTTCCTTGCACATGCCGAAGTCGGTGATCTTGATGTGGCCCTCAGCATCCAGCATCACATTATCCAGCTTCAGGTCCCTGGTGGGATTTCAGGAGGGTGGAGGTGAGTGAGGGAGCTGCGGCTTCGGAGCCCTTCTCTCCCAGGGCCTAATCTCCCTCCCTGGGTTGCTGACCTATAGATGATGCCCTGATTGTGGAGGAAGAAGAGGCCAATGGCGATCTCTGCCGCATAGAACCTGAGGAGCAAGAGGGAAGCTGGAAGGTCAACGAGGGACTGGGCACCCTCCACTCGGTCCTCCCTCTGCTCTTTCAGGGACTCACGCTGCATGGGGCTCCTTGAACTTGCCCAGCTGCTGAATGTGGTACATCAGGTCGCCACCGGTGACGTACTCCATCACGAAATACAGGCGGTCCTGGGGGAATGGAGTGCGGCTGAGGCAGGGATGGGCCCGCCCTGGGCAGGTGACTGCCTGTGCTGTACAGGTGCAACTGGACTCGTTGACTGGAATTCAGGGAACTGGCCACTGTCCCAGGAATGCCCTGGGCCTCACCCCACTCCAGCTTCCTGCTGTCAGGTGTCATGGCGGCACCTTCCCTGAACCGGACACTGAACCGGCCCCAACCATTGACTGAGACCTAACACACCATAACCTCTTTCCACAGCTAGCCACACGCATCCCCAATTCTGGCTTCGTGTAAAGCCACTGTGACTTTTAATCTAGGCAGCTGGTCACACCCACTGAGAGCCTCTGGAAGTACTCACACTCTCTCCAAACCCCAAAATTAGTTTGTTTGTTTCTTTTCCTTCCTTCCTTTCTCTCCGTCTTTTTTTAGGCAGGGTTTCACTCTGCAGTTCAGGCTGGCCCCGAGCTCACTTTGTAGCCCAGGTTGGTCTTGAACTTGCAATAATCCTCCTGTCTCAGCTTCCTGAATGCTGAGATTACAGACCTGCACCACCATATCAGGCTTTTTTTTTTCTGTACTGGAAATCGAACTCAGAACATGGCGCTTACTGTATCCCCAACTCGCCCAAAGTTTCTGACACCATGCTCCTGGCAACAATCTGAGGCTAACACCTGGTGTCTGACGTCTTTCAGTAAAAATACAAAAGTGATGACCTCATCACTCAGGACCTCATTCATCTGACATACCCCTCAGAGCACCAGCATATTTGCCACGCCCACCAAGGAGCCCACCCACCTGACCACGCCCAGAACACATGCATAATGGCCACGCCCACCAAGGAGTCTGCCCACCCGGCCACATCCTCTAGACCATCACCCAGCACCCCATTTATCTATCATACCCCTCAGAGCACCAGCATCTTGGCCACGCCCACCAAGGAGTCCTATAGCCTGGCCACGCCCTCTCATACACCAAAGACGCCCTGGAAACAAGGCCCTCACCGGTGTCTGGAAGGTGGAGTGCAGCTGGGTGAGGAAGTGGGGCCGCCCGCCGGGACCTCTGCCCCCCAGAGCCAGCACACGTTTCTCCACCAGGGTGCAGTCCACGTCATCATCCTGGACAATCACATCCTTCTTCAGGATCTTGATGGCATAGAGCTCCTCTGAGCCTCTACGCTCTGCCAGCATCACCTATCAGCAGAGGGCCAGTGGGTCTCAGCGCAAGGGGTGCAGCCGGCTCTTTGCAAGGGGTTCTCCTCCCTCTCTCACTGGCCCAGAAGCTCCTCAGGGAAAGCACAGGTGTCCCTATTCCTGTCCTCCAGGAACCCGAGCGCCACAACCACGCCCCTGACTTGGGTGCCCCGTCTCCTACAACACCCCAAGGACCAGAACCCCGACCTCTGCACCCACATCCTCCCCTGGCCCCAGAATCTCAGACGCCTACCTTTCCAAAGCTGCCCTTTCCCAGAACCATGAGGAAGCTGAAGTCAGAGATGTGTAGGCGTCCCGGGCTGGCACCAAAGAAGCAGCGCTTGGAGTCCGTGGGGCTGGGGGATGGAGAGGGGACAGGGGAGGACGAGGGGCCCATCCGCACCCGCTGTGGAAAAGAGAGAGACAGACAGGGAGTGAGACCCGGACGGGTGAGAAGAGACAGAAGAGACAGCAGCTGAGAACCAGAGGCATAGGGAAAGGCGAAGAGAGCCTGCCAGCCAGCCCTCTTACCCTGTTCTCGGCTTCAGAACTCCTGCCAATTCCTCACAGCTGGTAGGGCAGACTTACTGTCTAACTAGCACTCAGCAGACACCATGACACCTCTGGGAAAGAGCCTAGTATCCCCTTTCACAGAAGAGCAAACTGGCACAGAGAGGCTGTGTCATGTGCCCACAGTCACAGAGCAGAGCCAGAACTGAGATCCTGGCAGTTCAGCGCCTGCCACACTGTTCTCACCCTCTCTGCCGTGATCCCCTTTGATGAAACAGACCGCAGGCTGCTGGGGCAGGGCTTGGAAAGTGGTGCCTCTAAGCTGACGCTGTGAGCAGCTAAGCAGGAGGCCTTGCTGGGGTCATTGGGCCACTTGTGGCCCCTCTGCCACCCTGGACAGCTCTTGGCTGTGGCTGTGTGCTAACCCTGTAAGCTCACTATGCCAAGGGTCTGATTTGTGCTCCAAGGCACAGTGACCCTGTGCCTAGCTGCGGTTCAGTGGACACCTTGCAGAAGGGCAGCCTGACCTCCTGGACTCTGACCTGACCCCAGGCGGAGTTGGGCCATCTCCATGACTGTGTCCACATGCAGAGGGGTCTGGAATCTTAGTGCACACTCAGGGCCCAGGAGGTGAGCGAGTGCTCCTGTCTGCTTGGCTTGCTGTGGACCAGGACCGCACTGAGGGTCTGGCTCACAGGGTGTGGGCACTAGTCTCTTAACTTGGTGCCTGCTGAACTGTGCAAGGTAGCAGTGAATAACACCATGAATACTGCCTAAGCCCATTAGTGCTCTCACCAGCTGCCATGGTGGTGGCCAGCCTGAGCTACATAGCAAGACCCTGCCTCCAAAAAACAAACTCACAAAGCCTTCCCCTAGTGGCATTCCTGTCCTCCTTGGCGTTCCTTGTTCTCCTAGCCATCATCAGCTCCTAGCACACTGTCCTGTGCCTTCTCCTGGAGGCTTATTTACTTAGCTCTGTGTCTTGCTCCAAGGATAAACCCCACAAGGACAGAGATTCTCTGTTTTGTTCCCTGCTCCACAGAAGCCTCCAGTGATGACCATCATGCCTTATGTGCATACAGGCACTCCACAGTTCATTTTAGAAAGAGGAACCAAGGACAGAAGCTGGCTTCCTTCCTCCACCCTTGGCTCTCCTGGGAGCTGACCCCAGAGAGCCATCGGGATGGGATCCCTGGTGTCTAAGGCAGGCAGCGCCATGATCAAACACAGGCTCCCAGCTGCTCCTGAGAAGCGGGGCCCTCGGGGAGCTGGATTCTAGAGCAGGGCCCGGGCTCAGTGCGTGAATGAATGGGTGAGAAAGGAGCCTGCAAGGGAGAGGTAGGAACAATAGTCCAGGAGGGCCTCCCTGACCACTGTCCTCCACATCAGGCACCTGGATTTTAAGAATCCTGTCTTGGTAGGGTCGTTGGAGGGTCAGATTCAATTTCAGGGGCTGGGGATTTAGCTCAGCGGCATAAGCGCCTGCCTTGCAAGCAGGCAGTGGTGAGTTCAATCCCTGGTACCGTTAAAAAGGAAAAAGAAAAAAAAAAAAAACAATTTCAGCATCAGCAGCAATATCAGTGAGCATAGGATGGCCCTGGCAGTAAGGCAAGGCTCACTGCCTGTGTGTAGGCTTCAGTGTGGAGATCAGAGGAGGAACAAGTGGGGAGAGAAGGGAGGAGTGCGCTTGCCTCAGCTTCACTTACCTCATACAATTCCAAGGGGTAGTTACAGGCCTGGAGGGGAAGAAAGCCAGAATCAGAGCCCCAAGAGAGGTTATCAACTGCCCTAGAGCAGGGCGGGGCCCTAATATCCCCCAAGCCATGGTGATGGAGAAGAACTACAATTCCAATCAGACCCCAGGGCTAGCACCCCCTAGAAGAACAGAGGAAAGAGCTCCAGGGTCTTCTGGGAGCTGCAGTCCCATGACCGTTGGGCACCGAGCTGGCAGAGGACGAAGCTCTGATTCGGGGAGGCTGAGCTGGGCTCCCCTGGGGAGGCTGTTGGGTACCTCAAACTTCTGGAGGAGGCTGCAGTTGTCAGCATCTGCCACCGGCACATTGTAATATTCACCCTCCTCCTGGTTCAGTAACTTGTACCTGACACATAGACAGAGACCAGGGCCGGGCAGGGGTTGGGGAAGCGGGGTGCCCATGGGAGAGGGGGGACAGCCAAAAGGAGGAGAGACACAGAGAGACAGACAAAGGTGGAGAGAGAGAAAGAGTGAGATAAGGAGAGGAGGGAAGGAGAAGAGAAAGGAAAGAACATTGTGGAGAGGAGGAAGAAAACAGGAGGAGGAAAAGGAAGAGGGGGTAGACCTTGGGACACAGAACAAGGTGTAGTCCCCAGGAGGGACCACACAGGATGGAGAAGCTGACACTGGGTTACCCCAGCCCCAGTTCTGCTCCTCACCAGCCATCCACGGGTGCCTTGAGCAGTTCCGAGACCCCGAATGACATGGCCCCCATGAAGTCGTTGCGGGAAGTCCGGTCCCAGTCCCACACCTCCACACTGAGCCTGCGCTCCACATCCCCCGGCTTCAGGTTGCTGTAGAAGGAAGCGTGGGGAGATGTGAGGGGCCCCCTCCCTAGGGTGCTCCATCCCTGCTCTGGGTCTCTCTCCTACTTGGCATCTCCTGGCCCCTCCTCTCCCCAGGTTTGTGGTCTCTCTCCCAGCCCCTCCATTTCATCTGAGTCTTTGTTGGAGATGCCGTTTTAGGGTCTGTGTCCCTCTCTTCTCTTCTGCCCCCATGGAATGGCTTTGCTGCCCAGCCCCCTCCCTGCACCCCTCCATCTTCTCCTCCTCTCTCAGCTGGCGTCTTCCCCATCATCTCCCCACCTGTTCTAAGCTCCACCAAACAGTGGCTATCTGCCCAGTCAGCCTCCTCCAGGTCTCTTTCCTTCTTGTACCTGGGAATCAACTGAGGGCCTCTTGCTTGCCAGGCAGGCGCTGTGCCACTGAACTATACCCTGGCCTCCATGCCTGTTTCCTGATGGTCTTTTTTGAGACAGGGCCTCACTAAGCAGCTCAGGCTGGCTTTGAGCTCACTTTGTAACCCAGGTGGGTCACAAGGATCCCACTGCCTCAGCCTTCGGAGTGCTGGCATTACAGGCATGTGTGATCAATCATTCTTACTGTCTGCCTCTCTGCCTCTCCCTCCACCCTCCATCCGTTTCTCTGCCAGGTTGGGGACTTCCCCTGGGTCCTGACACCACCCATGGCGTCTCTCTAGGGTGGCTGGGCCTCTAGGACCCCAGGAGCCTCCCACCAGTCACTGCAGCCTCCCCAGCACCCAAGCTCACAACACGAAGGTCTCATTCCACACGGGGTTGAGCGTGGCTTTCACTGTCCGGGTCTTCTGTTTGGTCAGGTTTCGAGGGTCTGGGATGAGCTTCAGTTTGACATAGGGGTCAGACAGACCATTGGGGTCCATAGGAATGAGGTTTCGGGCCTCACCGACTGGAAATGAGAGGGGAGGCAAGCGTCCGGGGTCAGAAATCCAGGAAGAGGCTCCTAGGCCTCCCCAGTCATTGAGGAGGAATTCCCAGCTCAGACTGTGCAGCCCTGACTCTGGCCTCTCACAGCCAGGGGGCAGGCCCTCGGCCCTCGGCAAACCAGCCCTGCACACAGAAGCCAGAGCCACAGCCAGAGCCAGAGCCCTTTCCCCTTGGGCTCAGGAGTCTGTGGCCTGGCCTAGTCTATGGGGGGAGGGAGACGCCGGGCCTGGGAAACCGAACCATGGAACCAGGTGCTTCTTGTCCCTCTCCCCTCCCCCTCAGGATCTTCCTGACACCGGCGACACTGCCCATTCTGGTCTTTGCACTTTGAAGGCTGAGACAGGAGGATCGCTGGGAGTTCAAAGCCAGCCTGGGCTACAAAGTGAGCCCAAGGCCAGCCTGAACTGTATAGTGAGACCCTGTCTCAAAAAGACAGACAAAAAAGGGAGGGCTAGGAAGTTGTCCTAGCATGGAGGTGGTGTTTTCTTCATAGGGGATGTGGCCATAACAGGCGCCCACCTTAAAGGCAGTGCGTGCGAGGTTTCCTATGTAGGCGTGGCCTCTCAGGGGTGTGGTCTCATCTTGGAGACAAGCCCCAGCCTCCCACCAGCCAGGGGCGGGGCCTCACCGGTGATATGGATCTCGTCATTGGTCGGAGCCCGGATTTCCAGCTGCAGGCGGCCGCGGCGCTCGGTGTGGTCCACACCGCACAGCGAGGGCACGCTGCGCACACAGCGCCGGTGCACGTTCATCTCGCAGCCTGGCAGGACAAGCGGGGGTCGCACCTCCAGCCCAGCCCCGAGCCCTCCCCACTTCCTCCCCGGCGGCGGCGCCGCCACAACACTCACAGGAGCACTTCATGCCCTGGTGCACCAGCCCGTAGAGCAGCGAGCCACAGTGGTCGCAGAAGGTGGGGCTGCTGTAGCTGTGCAGACGGAACTTGTGCTTGTTCCGGGGGTCCTGGGGTCAGAGAAGGGCTCTTAGCGGGATTCACCGAGCTCTACCACACCCGGGTCCCTCCGAGCCCACCCAGCACCTGGGTACCTGCGGAATTCGGGTGCTAATACCTGAGCAAAGCAAACTAAGGACACATGGCCTCTGGGGCGCTTTCTAGGGGAAGGAGACAAAGGAGTCAAATGCAGGGCCCTGGGGGCAAGACCCGGGGCAAGAGCACCTGCCTAACACACAGGAGGCCCCCGGCACTGCATGTGTGTGTGTGTGTGTGTGTGTGTGTGTGTGTGCGCGTGCGCGCATGTAACAGTATGATGCAGAGTGGAGAAGAAAAATGAAGCAGAGATGGGGCCAACAGAAGCTGGGGACTTGAAATTTGAAACACATGACTGGGCTAGGTTGGCCCACTCCTATCATCCCAGAACTTGGGAGGCTGAGGCAGGAGGATCACCCCGAATTCAAGGCCAGCCAGGGATACCTAGTGTGTTCAGGGCTAGCCTGGATTACATGGTGAGACTCTGTCTCAAAAGAGGGGGAAAAAACTGAGATAGAGCGGTGAGGGAAGCACCTGCTGATGAGGCAGTACACGCCCTCCACCAGTCCGGCCCTGAATACTTGGGGGCCACTCAACCCCAATGTCAGCATCACCCCCCCAGGACCAGCCTTCCTGGAGTTCAGCTCTGTGTGGGACCCAGTTCGGCCAGCACCCAGGAGCCATCCGGCCACACAGGGTTATTACTAGTTATTTCTCAATGCCCAACACAGTTCGTCGTTTAAGTAAGAACTAGGCCACTTCCCAGCCGTGTGATTTGGAGCAAGCTCTTTGCCCATTCTGGGCCTCTGTGCCCTCCTCTGTCAAATGGAAACAAACAATCCTTGTCTCCAAGCAAAGCTGAGTTTCTGGAGTCCTTACTTCTGATGTAGGACACCCATGGACTCTGCTGCCCCTGCCCCTCCATAGCAATGTCTGGTGGGGAAATAACCTGAGGTTTGACTTTTACTAAGAATGTGTTAGAAGAATATAGGGAAAAAATCTAGGACTTTGCTGGACTCTTTCATGCCTTTGGAGGCATCTGTTTTGAGTGTATTAATTGGAAGGGGAGGATACTGACAGGTACCACATCTTTGATGCTCTGGGTTCCTAAAGGGCTTCACTGACCCTGACTGGAATAGAGATGATGCCAGGGTCCCGAGTGAAGGCCTCTGTTACTCTCCTCCCACTGAGAGTTCTTATCAACAAGGGCAAGCTCTGGGCCTCCCAAGAGGGCGCTCCAGGCCCAAATCCTTTGTTGTTTTGAGACGGGTCTCACTGTGTAGTTCAGGCTGGCATTATCTGTGTACCCCTGCACTCACAGCAACCCTGCCTCAGACTCCCTAGTACTGGGAGGGCAAGCCTGTGCCAACACACCTGGCCAAGGTCCAAATCCTGATGGTACCCGCTACCCAGGTGACGGCCCTTAGAGGCCTCCGTTTCCTTCGCATACAAAAGGGGCTGTGCCCCTTCTGGAGAGATCTCCTGAGGAGGACACAAACTCAAACTTCTGAATGAATCCTCAGGCCTTCTTAAGCTCTTGGCCCAGGAACTTATCAGATCAGAAGTACTAAGAAGACACAAAAAGGAGGCTGGGGGTTTAGCTCGGTGGCACAAGCGCTAGGTGGTGTGTTCAATCCCCAGTACTAAAAAAATAAAATAAAATAAACAAAAAATAAAAGACACAGAAAGGGAGAGGTAGAGTGGAAAGACGTCGCCAGGCACTCCTGCTTCCTCTCTGTGATGGTCATAAATGATAGCAGCTGGGTGTGGTGGCACACACACCTGTAATCCCAGCACTTGGGAGGCTGAGGCAGGAGGATCATAGCAAGTTGGAGGCCAGCCTGGGCTACAAAGTGAGCTCAAGGTCAGCCTGAACTGCATAGTAAGCAAGATGCAGCTTCAAAAAGATAAATAATAATGTGGGCAAGGGCCATAACAGCGTCTCTCTGCCGTCTTCCACATACTGTACCCCCCCCCAGGAACTTGATTGGTTGTAATCTGGGAACAAGCCCAGAGGTGGGCACAATCCTCACCCCCCTTCACAGATGGAGTGTTCAGAAGGGTGAATTAAACGTGGGGGGAGTGGTCCACACTACAGCTCTGACTCTCAAGAACCCATCTTGTTCTTGAGCCAGGCTCAGGGAGGGAAAAATCCCCGGTTGACCTCGGAGCTGCATGCCAGCCCTTGGATGGGCACAAGGACCCGTGCTGGCGGTACTGGAGAGCCCGTGGGGTGGGTGACAGTAACACAGATGGCAGCTGTCATGCGGTGGTGTGAATGTGGGCTCTGTGCAGGCTTTCGCCTTCCTCCCCTGACAAGCTCACAGGCTGTCTCTGGGACTTCCGGGGATCAATCAATGGCTCTCTCTCTTTACTGATCACAAACTGTCTCCCTTGTGTCAAATCCTGGGCACAACATGGAACCTGCCTGACATCACTGACTCATCACCAGGAGCCCCGGGTTTCTACACTCACAGGCTAACAACCTGTGGCTGCTCAAATCCCAGCTGCTTTGAATGAAGTGGGGTTCAGATATCATCTCCCCAGTGCAGCAGCCCTGTGAATGTACCGGAGCTATGCACGGCCACTGGCTGCCCACTGCACAGTGCACCATGACACAGCCTTGCAGACAGCCCTGCGGGCTGGTGCTAGATCCTGCAGCCCCATTTTACAGGAAGGAAACTGAGGCTCAAAGGGGATGTAGCCAAGAGTCAAGGGGCAGGAGGTGACTCAGCTGTGGACCTGGGTGTGTGGCCATGTGTTGTGTGCTGGGCACTGCGGGCTCTATGCACCTCCCTCTCTCATCGCTTGGAGTCCTCCCATCAAACATTTCCAGTGTTAGCAGTTCCCCGAGCTCTGTCAGGAGTTTCTCTGTCTCTCACCACCTGCCTCCCTCTCTTTTTTCTCTGTTCTCTCTGCTCCCAGGTAGCCTGTCTCTCTCCCCCAGTCTGTCCCTCTCCCTGAGGTTCTCTCTCTCTTTTCTCAGGACTTCTGGCCAGCACTGGTCCCTCAGGCTTTGGTTTCTTTAGATCTCATCCCCTGGCCAGCACACCACCCTTCCAGTCTTGGTCTTCCATCCCCTCGGCCTCCTCTGTCTCCCACCTGTGTTGGTGCCCTGTCCCAGGCCCCTCTTGTCCCCCTTTCCAGGCCAAGGGCAGGAAATCTGGGCCAGCGGAGCTCCCCCTATCCCTCCAGCCCTCCTCCCCTCCCAGCCTTAAAAATAGCAGAAGAAAGTGGGACGGTCGCCCAGGGGGTGAGGGCGGGTGCAGCCTGAGGAAGCAGGTGTCCGGGCACTCACGTCCGTCTGGGGGCCCTTCCCAGCGCCTGGACACTCGAAGGTCACGAATTCGTGGCATCGCCGATGAACCACAAAGCTGCACACTGAGGGGGAAAATCACAGAGACACGAAGCCAGAGAGAGACCTGGGTAAATCCGGAGACCCCCACAGACACAAGACTGAGAAGGGAGAAAGAGACGGACAGTGGAAAAATGGGGGTGATCCCCACAAATAGAATCAGCAGAGAAAAAGTGAGAGGGGGGACTCCCTATGGAGACCCACAGACAGAGGAAAAGAAACCCAAGGAACAGACTCAGAGAAAGATTGTGATATGTTTAATCTCAAAGAAACAGAGCCGCGACCACACATGCAGCCCGAGGGAGACAGACTGACAGAGACAGGAAGAAAGAAAACCGAAAACCCAGGTCCACAGACAGAGCAAACGAGCGAAGAGAGGTCACAGACAGACAACCTGGGCAGAAGTGAGTCTGGGGGCCGACTGGCACACCCCCACCCTGACTCACTCCGGCCTCTGCGAGTGGCAGCTGGCACTTTAGGACTCGCCCCCCGCCTTTCCTGCCCCTCCATCACAGTGACCCCACCCGGCCTGCCCTGCTTAGGATGGATGGCGTTGCCATGACGACCGAAGCCTGGGGGGGCTCTGACTTTGCATCTCCGGCCCCTTTCCCCTTCTCCTCCCCCTTTTCCAAATCTCCCTGTTCCCATAGCAACAGATTCTCCAAATATCCGTCCCCACCTGGAGCCGGCCGAGGGAGGGGCGTCCAGCACCACCTCCGCGGGCGGCCCGCCACACCCCCGGCCCCGGGCTCCCCCGCGCCTCTCTGGGGACCATGAACACGTGTGCCCGAAGCCACAGCCCTGGAGCCCCTGCCTCCACTCTCGGGATCCCGGGAGCCCGGGTCCCAGCTCTTACCTTGACACTGCAGGCCCTGTTTTCCAATGCCCCTGGAAGAGTAAGGCAGGGACCTGAGGTCAGCGTGGAGGGGGCTTCCGGACCCTGTCCCTTCGCCCCCTCCGCCTCCCTGGGGTGTGGGGTCTCTGACCTCTGCCCCTCCCCTCCACACGGCTAGGTCTGGGGTGGGTCTCAGTCCCGAGCACCTCCTCTTTCCAGAACCATGAATTGTGGTCTTCAGATGCTCCCCTCGCAGCGGCCCCTGGAGTCCAGGACCCAGGTTCTCCAGTCTCTCACCCGAGAGGTCCAGCCCCATCCCGACCGTCCTGGCCCCGAGTCAGGCTGCAGCCTCTGCTCCCAATCTGCACCCCGCCCTTCTGCCTTTAGCCCCCAGCCCGTCCTCTCCTTCGCCCCTCATGTCTGGTGTCTGGGGCCCCGAGGCCCGCGCCCCCATCCCCAGCAGATGCTCGGGTCTGCACCCGGCTCCTCCCCGCGACCGGCCCTTCTCACCAGATGAAGTCGGTGCAATGGCTGCAAAAAGTCGGCTGCTTGAAGAAGCGGGCGGTGAACTTATGGCTCTTGACCTCGTGAACCACCTTCTGCCTCAGGGCCCCCTTTCTGCAAAACAGGGGTCGGGGTCCCCCCTCGGAGTCGCCCCCGCCGGGGCCCAGGCCGGCCATGGCCCGGGATCGTGGCGGGGACCCTGCCTTTCTGCTGGGGTGCGGGCAGCCGGAGGCGCAGGCGGCGGGCGCTAGCTCGGCACCTGCTCAAATGTGGGAGCCCCGGCTGGGGGGAGGCGTCGCCACGACGACCGCGGGGCGGGGTTTCACTTAAAGGCGCCCCCTCCCCGAGACTCGGTCCAAAGCCCCGCCCCCGCACGTGCACACACCCACTCTGGGCGTGGCTGCAGGGCGGGGACACCCCGAGTGCCCGTGCCGAGTTACCTATCTTATCCCGCCGCGCGCCCCTAGGAGCCCCGGAGGGTCCGCCCGGCCCTGCGCCCCTGCTAGCATCTCGATCTGAACCGGTCACTGTGTCAAAAAACTTTCTGCCCGGTTCTGTGTAAGCACTCGGTGGCTTTCGAGGCTCGGCCTTCTCGGCGTCCGCGCCGCTTAGCCTCCATGCGTGACCGTGGGCCTCGCCGAGTCTGTTCCTGAAGTCCGTCCCCGTCCCCGCTCTCGCCCGGGGATACCCCGGGCCGCTGGCTCCGCTCGCTGCGCCTATCCGCCTGTGTCTGCTACGCCCCTAATGTCGCCAAGGCTACCGTCCGTTCTGGGTCGTGCGGCCCCGTCCCCCGTTCGTCTCGGCGGCCCCCTCAATCCTCTCCCTCCTGGGTCCTGCCTGACACCCTCCCCGCTGTGACTCCGGGCCTCTGTCACACCTTGGCCGCGCAGTCTGTGCGGAGGAAGGGGTCCCTCTGAATGTGCATCCCTGCTTCCCTCCCCGTCTCTCTCCGACCCGGGGGACCCTGCGTGTCTCCTTGTGACTGTTTCCGAGGTTCGACCCCTCTGTCCACCGAGAATCCGAGCGCCCTGGAGGTCCCGGAGTTTCCCCAGCCGCCCCACCCCTGCCTCGCGCGCTTCCGGGTCTCGGCTCCTCGAAGGACGCTCTGTTACCGGGGCAACCCGGCCCGCCCGAGCCGCGGTGCATCCTGCGCCTTGTAGTCCTGCACGAGCGCGCCGGTCGCACTGGGGACATGCTGCAGAACTCCCTCTCCCGGCGTGCCCCGCGTGGGGGCGGGATTCTGGCGCCCATCGCGGCCCCCTGGGGCTGTGGGCGTGTCTTTGTCTGACCAGAGGCCACTCCCGAGCCCCAGGCCTTCTGCAGCCTGTGGGCGGGGTGGCCCCCGGGAATGGACCTAGGAGTGCCAGCTTCTGTCCCGGCCCCCCGGGCTTTCTCCGTTACCACCACTCAGCCCTTCCAGCGGCGATCCAGCACCCGACGCCGCGGAGGGTCAGACCACAAAGGAGTCTGTCTCAGCTGGCCCTTGCTCCTCCTTCCAAATCAGGTAGATATACACACTGCTGGGGAGTGAGTCAGGGCCTCCGCATTGAGCAGCACCCCAATGCTTTTCTTTTCTTTTCTTTTTTGTTTTTAGCATTTTGGGACAAGGTCTTGCTAAGTTGCCCAAGCTGGTTCGGGACTTGCCAACCCCAGAAAAAAGGACCTTTTCTCTTTTTTTGTCTTTTTCCTTTTTATCCGTACCGGGGATCGAACTCACGATTGCCTGTTTACAAGGTAGGCGCTTAGGCCACTGAGCTAAATTCCCAGCCCCTAGAAAAAAGGATCTAATGTGGAACACATCTAGTGCAGGATTGACTCGATCATTTCATGGACCTGAGCCAAATGTAGTCCAGGTAGCCAGAGCCCAGAGTAACCAGCTCTCAGGACGGCTTTCTGCTGGACTGAAGGGGTTTGGAAGAAGCTCTAGGACATGTGGAGTGAGGTGCAGAGGGTTTCCAAGGGTTGGGGAGCAGGTTCAGACCCAGGTGTTGAAATTTGACTTTGTGGACGCGGGACTCCCAACAAAGGAGAGGTCACTGCTCCACCCAGCCCTCCTGGCTTGAGTGTGTTATTTTATTGACTCCGCAGTATTGGGGATTGAACCCTGGTACCCACACAAGCAAGGCAAATGCCAAGTGGAGAGCTACATGGTCCAGTCCTTTCTGACGTCTTGCTCAGTTGCCTAATCTGGCCTTGAACTTGTGATCCTCCTGCCTCAGCCTCCCCCGAAATCAGGATTATAGGTATATGCCCCAGTGCCTGCTATTTGAAGGAATAATTTAGAAAACCTAGACTTTTCTAGGATTTTTTCTTTTGAGGCAGAGTCTCACTGTGTAGTTCAGGCTGGTCTTAAACTCACAGAGATCCTGCTGTCTCAGTGCTGGGGTTATACATGTGTGTTATGTGGTTCCGAGTCCTGCCTCTACCAGTATTTGCTGTGGAAGCCAAGGTTCCCGTGGTCCCAACTCCTCCTCCTCCATCAGCCTCAGGAACCTGGGCCTTTCCCCTGGAGTGCACCGCAGTAATAATAATAAACACAAATTTTCTTTTTTTTCTTTATGTCAAGATTTAAAAAACATTGTGAATGTGCGAGTAGGGAGACAAGACTTCTATGACTGCAGCAGGAGCTGTAGGAACCAGAAGCTGCAGGCAATTAAAACAAAAATAAAATACATATTTATACATTTATATATATCATGATATGCGTGAGTCCCAGAGAAGCAGGAAGCAGCAGCAAGAAGCGACTAATACACTGAAACACTGATGTGCATACCGACATGCACAGGCACACGATGCCATTTCTCCCCCCACCCAAAAGCGCAGGAAAACTGCAAAGGAACATCCCCCTTGCAGAGTAAAGCCACCCTCTAATATCTGCCCTGTGTTGACCACGAGAAAGAAAAGAGAAAAAGCCAGATCATTGCCTTGAACTCCGGCAGTGGTCATTTCCCTTCGTTTTTGCCAAAGAGGACTGAGTTATTTTTAACATGTGGCGGGAGGGCCGTGTAACTGCCCTCACAATACTTCAGACCTTGGTCCCCAATACTGATTTCTTTTCTTGCTAGCACAAAGCACAGCTGGCATGAGAGGCACCACCTCCTGCTTCCTCCAGGACAGCCTCTAGGCAGTGGGTTTTTCCTAAGCCTGGCCAAGGTTCTGGAGCCAGTCTCAGGCAGGGCCAAGGGCCAGGTGGATCTGGGGACCTAGGGTCTGTGCTTAAAACGTCCCACCCACCGAGAATTGACCTCCAGAGAATTGGTTTTGTACCAGAGAAGGAGGTGCAGTATACAGCCTCCTCCACTAGGGAAAAGGGAACCTGATCCCTAAGCACCACCACCACCATCCCGCACCCCCCCACCACACACACACACAGACACACAGAAAATACACACACACACACACACACACACACACACACACAAACACACATGGCACAGCTAGGGTGGGCAGGCATGCTTTGGCAACAAGACTTCTCCGGAGGCCATGACATGAACAGCTGCAGCGAAGGGGTGGGGCTCAGCACCTTTGGAAGTGAAGTGGGGGCCAGGGCTCCCCTTTGGGACAGCAGTAGGGAGCTAGCAAAGCAGAGAAGGTAGAAAGCAGCAGAGTCAGGAGAGACAGCTGAGGGGTTGGGGGCTGGGGGGGTGGGAGCAGGATGTGGGCACCGGACAGCATGGAAGGAAAGGGGAGAGCACGAAGGAGGAAGTGAGCGTGGAGAGGCGGGCAGGGGAGGGAAGGAGAAGGAAACGCGGTCAGGGCACCGGACTTGGGGGAGGAGACCAAAGGGGTCAGACAGAGGTCTTAGACCTTGACAAACACCAGCCGCGCTGAGTACGCCAGGTCGGCCAGGTACGCCAGCAGGTTGATGCCCGTCAGGACAGATACGGCCAGCCTGCGGTCCCAGGAGCACACGTCGTGGGTGTGCCTGGTGGCACAGCCTGGGTCCCCTGACCTGCGCGGCTGGCCATGGTACTTTTCGTTGAACTGGTAGAGGGGCCAGAGAACCAGAGCGATGGCGTACAGGACAACAGAGAGCAGGGCGAGGCCCGACAAGAAGCTGGGGAAGGAGATTGGCAGCACGTTGGTGCAGTCACCCAGGTTCAGCAGGATGGCCACTGCTGCCAGGATGAAGCAGATGGCATACACTGCCACGCAGCACTCCAGGGCAGACGCATGCTGGTACAGGTAAGGGTTGCTGATGAAGACAAAGATGATGCAGGCCACGAAGGTCTCTAGCACCTTAAGCAGCCCGGGCACAGTGGCCATGTAGCCGGTGATCTCGCCAGGTCGTGCCCGGGTCCAGGCCACCTCAGTGGCATAGGCCAGGCAGGCAACACAGGAGAAGGTGGTGGCAGCGATGGCGTGGTCTCGGGAGCGGCCATGGGAGAGGAACTGAACGTAGGTGGTGGGGTAGATGATAGAAGAGGTCAGGCAGAAGAGGGCGGCGTAGCAGGCGTAGGTGATGGGGAAGTTCCGCCAAGACAGGGGGAACCGAGCCTGCAGCCCGAACAGCTCCACCAGGAGGATGACAAGGGTCACAGCGAAGCAGAAGCACCATGTGAACATGGACCAGTGGCCCATGGGCCCCGTGTAGGCACCCACGCTGGCCACCAGTGAGAAGGCAATGCAGGTGGACACCAACTGCAGTAGGCGTAGCAGGCCCAGGGGCTGGGTCAGTGCCCGAGGGGACCCCACGATGGTGGAGGACGATGATGTGGTCGTGATGGTTGTGCGGGTGACGGTCACCGGCATGGCTAGTGAAGGCAAAAGACAAGAGTCTCACGACCCAGGACTGTGGTGGCTCCTATTTCAAGCACTTAAGAGTCTAGGGCAGGAGGACCAGCCCGCTTTCCAGGCATCAGGCTCAAAAAACCAGACAGAAATACACTGCTGTGGGCTCTGGTTAGGGAGTTTCCAGGGTGTGGGGCTTTCCATGTGCAAAAGGGGTCAGTCTTGGGCACATAGGACGTAGTGGGTCATCCTGGTTCAGGCTCACATGTGCCCAGCTGTGTCCGAACCCAGGATTGTGGGTCCCTATCCTTCTCCTCCTCCCAACCTCAAACGCCTGGTGTTGTCCTCCTGCTCCCCCCTTCCCTAGGGACACCACCCAACGCTATCTGACTGCTCTCGGGCCCTGGGAACAAACTTCCCTCTTTTGGATAATTAAGACCCTGTGTATCCTCTTCACAATTCTTTTGAAAAGCACTCCACTGCCCTGTGCGTCCTGCTACCCTCCGGGTCAGGACTCCATGCCCAGAGGGCCCTGGGTCTGCAGCACTGGAGCCCACAGACCCTTGCACACTGCTTCTCCAATCTGGGAACGCAGGTCCCCACATGGCCATTAGCCAACAGCCTCGGCCCTCTGCACTGGAGCTGGGCTGGGTGCCACGGGGTCAGACCTTGGCCTCGTCGGCAGGCCCAGACTTGTCATCTGGCTTCTTTCTTCCCGGACCCAAACCCCACCACGTCCACTTCCTTGTTCTGAAGCTCTTGAAGAAGCTGAAACCCTTTCTCAGGGTGCAAAATTTCCAGTCTGTGAGCCGACACCTCTGAAACTGTCAGGAGGTGGCTCTCAACACAGGGAATTAAAACCTCCTACTTGAGGGCCAGCCGTGCGGTGAGCAGGACAGGGACTCCAGAGGATACAGGAGCCAGCTGCACCACATTCAGACCTCTGTATGTTTGTCCTATTTTTTGACTCTCAGACCCGAGGCCCAGGCCCGGATCCAGGGTCCCAGCTCAGTCTCCGCCCTCAGACCCGGGGTCCAGAGCCCAGCACTCACCAGTGGATTTAGGGGCCCACGCGGACGAGAAAGATCCGGAAACGATTCAGCAGCAGGCGCTCTGGAAAGGCGGTCGTGGCACCTGGGAGAGAGGTCAGCCCAGCTCAGGCCTGGCTCCTCCCTCCAGATCCGCGGCCACTGGTGGCCGCGCAGTCCCGTGTTGTAGGTGTTTGCGCCTCCCGGCAGGGACGAAACAACCCCTGGGCCCATCCCTGCGGGGCTGGGGGTGACCCGGGCAAGGGGCCGACCTGTCCCTTGCAAATCCGCGTGGGTTAGGCGGAGGGGGCGGGGCACAACACAACCCCGGGTCTGGGGTGGGTGGCCTGGGCGGGCCTGGCGTGTCCAAGCCTTATAAGGCCACGGCTGCCGGGGAGGCGGGGCGGGGCGGGGCGAGATCCCTCTTCTGGGTGTGGCCCTCGCAGGATGTGGGGGAGCGGAGAGGTTCCGCAAGCCGGGAAACTAGGTGCGCAGGCGTCCGACTCCTTAAAAAGTGAGTTATGGGGCTCGAGATTTAACTCAGCGGTATAAGCGCCTGCCTTGCAAGCAGGCAGTCGTGAGTTCGATCCTCGGTACCGATAAAAAAGAAAAAGACAAAAAAAAAAATGTGTTATGGGTCCCGCACTTGAGAGTTTTCCAAAAGGAAGGGGCGGGGATTCCCGACTCCCGGGCCCACCTAGAGGCATGCGAGTGTGCAGGGAGCCCCGCTTTGGCAGCCACGTGTGCTGCGAGGCCGCGCGCAGCCACAGCCCGGGTCCTCGCCAGGCAGGACGGGTCGCGCGCACTGGATGGCGCGCACCCAAAGAGGAGGGGCGGCGCGGTGGGCGCGCGGCCGGGAGCAGGGGAGCTCGGAAGCAGGGGGAGGAGGAGGGCCCGCCCCTGCCCCAAGCCTGCGCCGCCAGAGGTCTGAGGTCAGAGCTCAGGAATGCACTGCCGCCGAACGCGGGGACCCAGGACTAGCGCCCGAGCTCCAGACCCTCCCGCCAGGGCTCCAGACGCCCCGCCCTACAGGCGCAGGCAGGCGGCCCTGAGCCCCGCCCCGGCCTGGCCACACCATGCTTCACCATGCTTCACCGCTCCACCTGGCCCTTTCTGGCCTCCCGGGACCGCCCCACCCTGAGATCCCGAGTGCAGGGTCTTAGCCTTCACCTTACAGGGGTCCAAACTGCTCTCGGATGAGGACGGGGTCAGGAGTGGCCAAAGAAAAATAAGACAAAAACAAGCAGGCAGGAGGACCCAGACCTCCAGGCCGGCTAGAGATACAGACCCGCCTAAACTACACGGCAGGACGCTGTCTCGCAAAGCAACAGGAGCCAGGCGTGGTGGGACACGCCTGTAAGCCCAGGACTGGGAAGGCTGAGGCAGGAGGATCACCCTGAGTTCGAGGTCGGCTTGGGCCACATAACGAATTCGAGACCAACCTGAACCCTATAAGGAGACCCTGTCTCAAGACCAAATAAACACAAATTCCAGACTCCAGCCACTCTTAAGGACGGAGTTCTCAGCTCCAGGCTCCTCTTGAGCACCCCTGCTCCTGCCCCTGAAACCTGGATTTAGTAGTAGTTTGCATCTTTTCTCGATCTACGACCCCCGGGTCCAGGCCCAGCCTCCCTCCTCAAGACCCTCGAGTCTGGATCCAGCCCCCTTCCCCGTTTGGGACTCGTAACCAGTTTGAGCCCGGGCCCTAGCCATCTCCTCTAGAGAGCCCCAGCATCCCAGCCCAGCCTGTCTTCCTTTGGACCCCACCCACATTCAGCATCGCAGTCTTATCCTTCGCTGAACCCCAGAAACCGGGGCCACCGTCCCAGGGTTTGGGGTCCCCGAGCCTTACCTCTCCAGCCAGCAGCGGCTGCGGCTAAAGCACAGGCGACAGCTGCGGACCACAAGGGTCTGCTGCTGGGTGGGGTTGGCCGGGTGGGGTGCGGCCCGGAGGGCGCGCGGGGGCGGGGCGGGGGCGGGGCCAGGCCGGGACTGGGGCTGTGGACAGGGATCCCCTCCCCGCCCCCATGCCCAGTCCTTTCGGGGGCGGAGCCAAGGGAGGAGGCAGAAAGCTGAGGTCACCGTTGCCGTGGTGACAAAACAGGAAGACAACAGCTGGAGGAGGGGGCTTAGGGGGATGCCCTCCCCGAGGCTGCGCCTAAATGAGTCTCTGGGCCGTTGCCATGGAAACCCGCGTGTTGATGGACTCTGGGAGGTAGCTTCCCAGTTCTAGGCCACCCTCACCACGCTCAGGGTTCTCATTCGCCTCCGCCCCCCCCCCCGGGTCTGCCCAGGTCCTCAGCTGTGCCAAGGTGACGACATCGCAGGCACCTGAGTCGCAGCGGTTTGGGAGGACTAAGACCCCCTACCCCGTCTAATAGGTCCAGTGAGACGGAAGACTCCCCTGAAGAGAACAGGGAGGGGTGCAGTTCCCGGGCTTTACCTTGGAGGTTCTGAGTCCGCCTCCCAGGCGCCTGGTCCCCAGAACCAGGTCAGAGTCCTGCTTTGAGTGTGGGGGATGGGCCCGTCTCTGTCCACCTGGGAGCGCAGGGTCCGCCCTAGGCCTGGGGCAGCGTTGTCGGGGGCTGGGGGGGGGGTAGGGTGCAAATCCGGTGCCCAAGGCGGTGGAATTGGGGTGCCGAGTTCCACGCGATGCTCAAGCCGGACCTAGCATAAGAGTTCCGGAGCTCAGGCCCTGTGTTTGGGGCGGAGAAAAGCTATTTTTGGCCCGCTGCTGGCTCCGGAGGCGCGGGGGGGGGGGGTCTAGGGCTGCGGACCCCAAGCTTGCGGGAAGACGGGCGGGGCGGCTGCGCCGGGCCCGAGGCTGGGAGGGCTCCACGGTGTGCTTGGCCTGCGGTCCGCATAGCACTGCGGCGCCAGGAAGGAGGCAGTGAAGGTCGGATTCGCATTCGGGGCCCCAGCGCCGTCCGGTCCGTGCCCACCCCGCGCCCTACTCACCGTGGCGCTGCGGTCCACGGCGCCCAGCTTGGCGGAGCGGGGCCTGCGCGGCGGAAACTGTGGGATGCGGCTGTCACCTTGCAGGCCGGGAGCCGAGGAGGCTGCGCCGAGGAGGGAGGGGTCCGAGGGGCCTCGCGCTGTGGAGCCGGAGGGGTGGGGAGGGGGGACCCAGGCCGGGGTGCTTGCTGCTCTAGCATGGGGCCTAGCAGGGCCTGGCGTGCACCTGTGGCCACATAGGGGACGGGTATCCTCTGGAGGCTGCCCGAGACATCCTTGGCTTGTATTCACACTGAAGTGGGTGTAAGAAATAAAGTCAGATAGAAAGGAAACGCGAGAAATTGTAGCTTTAAAAATGGAACCACTAAAAGCCAAGAGTGGTGGTGCATTCCTGTATTCTCCACACTCTGGCAGGTTGAAGACTATGAATACCACCAAGAAAAACAAGACGCCGAGGCAGGAGGATCACTGCAAGTTCGAGGCCCGAGGCAGGAGGATCACTGCAAGTTCGAGGCCCGCCTGGCCTACATAGGGAGTTGAAGGCCAGCCTGAACTACCTAGGGAGACTGCATCTCTCTTGGAAAACAAAACGAAACAGAAAACTACAGCAGGACACAAAACCAGTCAGGGCTTCCTAAAGACAAAGGCTGGGTCAGTCTCTTATTCCTGGGAAAGTCCTTTTCTCCCATGACTGGACCTTTTGTCTCTGAGGCAGAATGGGCCTTTTCCTCATGCATGGGCCACCCCACCGCCTAAACTGGCCAGCCTTCCCATCCATTGACTGAAACCCCTCTTCCCCAGATTCCACAGATCTCCACCCCCAAGCTCCAGTAAACATCACCAGCTCCTGGCCAAACTGTCTGCCTGTGGATTCACTAAGTATATGCGGTCCTGTCAAAGTCCAGCCTGAGAGCTGCTTTCCTGAGGTCCAGTGATTCCTTTTCCTTGGTGCCTGTGAGTGGTAGGGTCCCCACCTCTGCTTCCAGGAGCTCCTCACAGGCTATCAGATGACAAGAGAATCCTTGCCCCAGTGTTGGAGGGTCTATCACAACCTGATCAGTCAGTCACCTCTTGGCTGACCCTGTAGTGACACTGAGGTCCCCGCAAGCACCCTGAGTGTCTTCCACAGCTTACATACCTATTATACCGCTGTGAGCAGTATATTTTCTCCCATGTCGGGGGCTAAAGCCCTCGATCACCCCAGACCAGGATGCAGACATTTGCAGAGTGAGTCATGGATGTGACTGTGAGGCCGGCACTCGAGTTCCAAGATCCGTGTTGTTGGGCATCACCTACCTTACATGCCAGGAGCCAGGGGCACTTTCCCCTGAGTCTCAACCCCTCCCACATTCTTCAGGCCTGGTAATCATGAGACCCATGAAATCCATTTCCAGATCATTCCAGATTGGCCTTTTGGCTAGGAAACCTTGCACAAACCCGAGATGGGCCAGTGACTGAGGACTCGGACCTGATCCCAAGACAGCAGGCCCAAAGAGAATCTTTCTCCCTCCAACCCCTCAGCACCCTTCCCCTGCGCTGGCTGCTCATAGGTTGTGATTAGATAAACCCACGCTTGGTGCACACTTTACACTCCTCTGTGTTTCCTGCCATGCGCCCTGCAGAGAGGTGGCTGAGCCAGGGAGCTGATCCCCAGCCTGGCAGTCTCCCTCAGTCACACACAGGCCAAGCCTCTGTCTAGGAGGCACGTGGGGTACCCCTGGGGTATATGGCCGGCCCCCTAACACACACTGACTTCCTGACACCACGTTCACCATCAGAGGGAAGAGTGTGTGTTGACACGGTGGTGAATGGGCCCATTCATCGTACACAGGCTGGCTTTGGCAGATGTGCAATGGGCAGGGAAAGCAAACAGTCCAGATTTACTTACCCTCAGAAGAATGGGCTCCCTGCCCTGTCCCAGGCCCCATCCCTGCTAGAAGGGGCCCCTGCCTTCTGAGGCTGGCAGGAGCTGTGCCTCAGCAGTGCTTAGCCATGGTGTTGCTGCCGGCAGGGTGGGCATACATCAGCCACACTGCTGGCCAAGGTGGTGTGCATCCAGGGTGGTTCCCACAGCCACGTCGCTCTCTAATCACTGAGCAAGCACTGGGGCCCCAGGGAGTAGGAGCAGAGCAGCCATCTAGTCTCCTGAGACCGGGCTGCCTTCTCCAGGACAGAGGGGCCAGGGCAGCTTTCACCTGGGATGCAGATGACAACCTCTTCTTCACACCCATCATGTCAAACACCAAATATGTGGGTTTTGCCTTTCAAAAACCAAGTTTCTGACTCGACACCAACTGGGTTTCCTAGGATCCCCTTTAGTTCCAACACCACCCCAAGTTAGAGCCACACACTGCAGGTCTGGGGCTCAGCCCTCCAGAAGATCACCCCTCGTTGAAAGCCCTGGGCCTCCCACACTGTGACCAATGGCTCAGATCAGGGGTCCCCAAGAGCCCCCTCAGGTACCATAATTCATGATGAAGGCACTGACAAACCAAGATGACCCCCAAGGTGACCCTCCTGCCTCAGCTCCCAAGTGTTGGGATGTCAGATGTGTGCCACCATGCCTGGCAAGGGATCTATTTCTTATCCTACTGTAGCATTATATAGATCTGCCATCCTTTCACCCCACTTCAAGGTTTTATTCACTTACCCAGGAATATTGATGAGGCCTCCTACCTCAGAGCAAAGTAGGCTAAAAAAAGCACCTACTCTAACCTGGAGGCTTTGATCTCCTTCCTTGGTGGCAAAGCATTCAGGATATGTTACATCTGTTGGGTCTGAGGCCTCTGGGTCACCAGACATCCCCTAGCTGGGCTTCCCTCTCTGACACAGAAAGGAAGAGGAGCCAGCATTTGGTCGACTGAGGCAGGAAGATTGCTGCAAGTTTAAGGCCAGCTTGAATGACATAGCAAGACCCTGTCAATAAAAAAAAGCAGAAGACCAGTTGAAAGCAAAACTATTTTACTGCAGGTAGTGTAAGAGGAAGTGGTCAGGAGTCATTCCAAAGGAGTAGGGGTGCAGAGTGGGGACATGCCTGCTCTGAGGCCATGTCTGGGGCTTCGTCCTGTTCTGTGGGCAGAGGGCCCACACTGGGTGGGCTGCCTGTTGGGCTCATGGCTGGAGGTCTGGTGGTCGGGACCATGGGGAAGAATGGCGTCTGCACAAGGAGGGACAGCACAGCTGCACAGAGACAGGTGTCAAAGCCACACCTGGGAGCTGCAAGCCGCAGAACTGCTTGGAAGCTGCTTGCTGCTCGCACACATACGGGGGCTGCTTTTTCTAGCCTCCAAAAGGCTGAGGCCTTTTACACCACCCGGTCCCTTGTGCCCCTCCAGACAGAGTAACATCTTCATTTGGAAGAGGTTTTCCCATCCACCATCTTCTGGGGTCTCAGAGATGTCCCCAAAGCATCAGGGGCTTCCCATTTCCTGGCTGCTGGGGGCCTGTGAGTGTCTCCGGAGGACCTGCTCCTTTCCGTCTCCTCAGCATGCCCTCACCAAGACCAAAGCAGGAGGCCAAAAGGGAAGGCACTGGGCTGTCTATGAAAGCTCAGCATCACTGGGGAGGAAGAAGTCGCCCAAATGGTGCCTGACTACCAAGATAGATTGGTACCGTCTGGGCCCAGGATAGGAGAAGCTCCACACATTCCACTTCCCAAGGCCAGGAGTGTGGAACCAAGAGTGGCAGAGCTTCCAAAGTTCCAGAGGACCTGGGTTCCTGGTCCTTCTGGCTTCTGGAAGCTGTCTGTCTGTCTGTCTGTGCTCCCTCATACTCTGAGCTCTGTCTTCTGTCTTCAGCCCTTGCCAGCTCTCTATAAAGCTGTCTCTTATTAGGTAGGGTGTTTACTGTTACATTTGGAATCCACCTAAGTAAGTCAGGATGTCTCCTCATCTAGAGAGTCTTTGTTTCTTTCTTTTTTTAGAGGCAGGGTCTCACTGTGCAGTCCATGCTGGATGAACTCACTATCTAGCTGACCTTGAACTTGCAGCAATCCTCCTGCTTCAGCCTTCCAAGTGCTAGGATCACAGGTGTGCACCACCATTCCTGGCCCTAGTGATTCTTAATTTAATGATCATTTTTCCAAATAAGGTAACACCAGCAGGTTCCAGCAATCAGATGTGGCCATATCTTTGGCCCACCATGCAGCCCACTCATGGCCCACAGGAAGACAAATGACTTTGTTCTTCTGTTCCCTGTGATACAGGCCAGGGGCCACACTCAGTTGATTTTCCTCTGAGCCCAACAAGGAGTTGTGGTTGAAGTCAGAATTGTCTGGATGATGTCCTGAGCCTCGGAAGGAGATTGTGCATGTATGGAGTTCTGGGGTTCAGTTTTCCCAAGGAGGTGGGCTTGGCTTCGTCTCCATATCCCGCAGACACCTTCCTCTGCCCCATCACCCAACACTCCTCTCTCCTCTCTGGCCCTGTCCCAGATTCTGAAAATTTCCCTACAAAAGCACCTTCTTCAGGTGGTGCATCCTTCCCTGCCTGCAGCAGAATAAACTGTTTTTAATGTCTGTTGTCTCTGGACTCTGGCTGCTGCCCTCAGCATTGCTAGGGGGTTTTCAAAGCCTCTCTCCAGAGCATCTGA